AGTTGAGGAAGGCTCCCATGTTATGCAGGAGATCAGGACTAGCTGCAGATCCAGAAGAGGTTCCCGACTACAAATCTCTTTAACAAAATCCAGCTGAGGCCCATGAGCAGATGAAGCAGTAAAATTACTCTTTCTTCCAGATAATTCTTCAAAGGCTTTTCTACCATACCAACTAGTGCAGACTACGCAGAACCGCACTGAGTTTTAGCCAACCTCTCTCACGGCCAAAAATATCATCCACCACCACTGCACACATTTTCTTACCGAGATTTTCAGAAGGTCTGCATAATCTCATAACCATGAAGTTAGTGAGCCATTACATATTTCCTGAAACTAAGCTGCACATTAGATGATTCACCAATTAGTGTATTCATGAAGCTTTAAAAAGCAATCAAAATTTCCTTTATGTTGAAAAATTTAAGAAAGATGTCTAGCTGTATGCACGGGGAGAGCATGTGGGCTTTTCTCCTTAACTAACAGCTACGTTAGCTGATGAAAAATATTCAGTGTGTCAGAGTTAATTTATAGAGCTGACAAAGTATAAGGGCTCCAGAAGGTATAGCATACATTTACTAAACTTTAAATACAATTTTTAAGCTAGATATAGCTCAAAGATGAAAATAAGCAGCCCAACAACTAAACTACTGAAATGGGTATCATTTCATGGCACTTTTTATTTAATGGAACATGTGTGTTTCAAACTAGCGGACAGGTTACCATCGCAGCAGAAGAGCTGATAATCCTTCTGATCCCATCAATGGAAACATTTTTCTGAAGGAGGCAGGCACCTCTGGAAGCCAGCAGACACCTCAGCACGGCGCAGCCATGACCGTGCAGAGGGGAGGCACAGCACATTGCTCAACACCACCAAGCACCCAGGCCTTAATGAAGCCTCCAGGCATAAATACCACAACATAAATACTAAGTGTTAATTTCCCCTTAAGGTTGAAGAAATTACCCAGCAAAGCTCTTGGGGAGGCAGGTCAAATAGCTATCTACTTTGACAGCACTCAAGAATTATTTAGCTATCTTGCTTGTTTTAGGAGCCAGTATTTTAGGACTCACGGTGAAACCTTCACATCAAAGGTTCTTTCTTTTACTCTACAAAGCCAGACATGCACACTTTAGCAAAGAAAAATATATCCTTTTCAGACTTTATGGCTTTTGTCCTCTATTCATAGCAGTAAATGAAACTACTTTAAGCCCTAAAAATCATATATCTACTGAATGGAGGACGCATGGAGTCATCTGTATCCTGTGAGAAATCCACTAAAAACCAAGCTGTTCAGCAGCATGCTATCACAGCACAAGCTAGTTTACAGCAATCATCACTACCCTCTGATGAGCCTAAAATACATCTCTTGCTTAACTATAAGCACGAAGAATGAGACCAGAAAAATTCACGTCACACCACCTTGGAATATTAGCCCACTACAGCAACATGAATTGCCGCATCAAATTGGACAGCCACCTTCTAGAACCTCGCCACAGAGTGACGGGTTTCATATGTTTCAAAGAACACGTTAAAAAAAATTCTGTTAAAACACAGTTATTTCTAATCTCTTCCATCTGCTCTGCCTTAGATGTACCTGCCATCAATACAACAGTAATAGAAGGGAAACTCTAGCTATTCCTCCAAAGACAGCACCAGCCATTTTTCCATTGCTCTCATACATACGAGGTCATGTCAAGTTTCTGCATGCTACCAGCTGTCTGCATTCACTGCTTCGTTGTACTGCTAATGCAATTCTGAAACTAGGGTAGATACGAGACATTGAGGCAAACTGGAAAATCAGAACACATTTCAGTAGCTCAGTCCATCAGGTCTCAAACTCGCTTTTTCTTTCTTGTAGCTTCTGTCAGACTGACAGGGAATGCAACCTAAAAGTATGCTTAATTCACTCTGCCATAGTTATTGATGTACAGACACAAAAAGAATCAAATCTGCTCTTACACAACCTCTATCACTAAGGCTACTGGTTTGATATCAAATCCACTCAAATGTCCTACTTTGCAGTGAGTGAATTAGCAGATGTTAACTTGGAAACTCGCCTCCTTTCAATAGTTCACCACAGCTACCTATCTCCTCTCAGTATCTCACAATTACAACCTCAAATGTCTGACAGGGCTATGTCAAGGCTGAGGGAAGCATAACAACTTCAGTAGGAAGCCTTTAACAGCACAAACCTGCACAATGCAAGATAACATGACTTAGTCCCAAGATTCCTACAGATATAAGACATTTTAACTAAGGAATAGCCTTAACATCATCTGTGTGCACTGTGACCCATAAAAGACCTGAACTCAGAAGAAGGTACGAGAACCGAGTGAACAGGTTAAATGGCATTTAGGGCTATGATGTACTACATGGTCATTACTTGGTGACACAACCCTAATTTCCCTTCCAGAAGTGGACTTAGGAAAGGACATTCCATCCTCCTCAATAACGCATTGGACTCAAGGCTTCTGGCACACAAATTAGAGTCTGAGTTGACAAATACATTCTGTGGGGAGGAATGGGACTAAAAAGACCTTTGTAAGAGTAATCTTGGAGTAACATTCCTGAACTGAAGTTAACCAGGTTTACATGAAAGGATGTTAGGAATTACATCCCCATTCTGTAATTCCGTAATAAAAAAAAAACAAAACACAACCCCAAAGCATTTCTAGGAAGCCATGTTAAGGCACTGGTTCTGTACAGAAATTCACACTGAAGGTACCGGCCACTGACCAGCCTCCTTCTGGTGCTGGGCCCCAGCTCACACAACAGCAGCAACATTATTAAGAAATAAAAGCACCCTGAAATGCAGCTGTTTGCCTCTAAGAGAACTCTACATTTAAAAAACAAAAACACAGAGCATGCTATGATTAAAAGCTCAATAAAACAGAACACTGAAATGTATCTGAAGCATTTCAAGAGTTCTCATAGCCATGATGACGTCAGTGGCAGTCTTCTTTCTGCACAACATTCTAAGTCTAGGAAAGACCTGTCAGGGCTTTCATGCTCACCCTGACGTCGAGTGCACACATTCAAAGCACCTCTCTCCTGATGGAGACAGATCACTTTGAGATCCAGTCTCCTTGCACAACCCTTTGGAGTACTTTCCATTCATATAACCACCCTGCAAATAGTTCGCTTGGGCTACGTTTACCCTAAAAACATTTTCTTGTTGCAGGAGCACACCACAGCAACAAGGAACTTCTGAAGTTGTCACAGATATGGAAAAAGCCATATCTTTACCAAAGCAGGCAATGTCACCACCAACAAAGGAGTGAACTTGAGAGGAAAAGCGCTGGATTTCTCATCACAGGGCTCGCACAGCACCAGCAGGGGCCATACCCCACACGACAGCGGTACGGGACCCCATACACTGGTTAGACGCTGCATACAAACTTGCTAATAAATTACAGTTTGCAATCACGGGTACTTCGCGTAAAAGCTTTTGAAACAGAGGGGAGGAGGAGAGGGAAAGAGAAGCACTCCGTAGACACACGGGGAACGTCAGTACAACCTCACCGCATCCCGCGCTCCCAGGAATACACGCCGGGATGGCCCCCGGGACCAGATTCAGAGCAAGTCCCCAGCTGCGAAGTTAGCAACGGCAGAAATAAAGCCAGTTATCGCTCCAAGTCCCAAAAACCGCTCGCAACTCGGACTTAGCGCAGACGCCCCAAGTTTCGCCCACCCTCTCGCTCTCGCGGAAGCAGCCCGCTGTCCCACGCACACACATCAGGGTTAACGCGATGGCTGCGCGCCCCGAGGCGGCTCTGCGGGGCTGTTCCCACGCGCGGCTCCGTCCCGGGCGGCCGCCGAGCGCCCCCCGCCCCCTCAGGCCGTGCCGGGCCCGCGGCTCGCCCGCCCCCACCTGCCGCGGCCCCTCACCTGCACTGCCGCCCGAGGCGGGCCCGCCTCGACCCCGCCGCCTCTAGCCGCGGCGCTCCCGCCTTCTGGGGGACGGCCGGGCCCGAAGGAGCTGCCCCCACTCGGGGCGGCCTCCCGCTGCCCGCCGTGTCCCGGCCGGCCCGCCCGCTCCTGCCTTCTCCCGGCCGCCCCGGGCGCCGGCCGCTCCCCTCCTCCCTCGAGAAGCCGCGGCCTCAGCGGGGAGCGGCCGCCTCCCGCCGCCGGGGGGCGAACGGCGCGGGTCCCGGCCGCCGCTCACCGGCCCGAGGCACCTACCGCTGCGCCGCGGCGCGGACGGCGACGCCTCAGCGCCGTCCCGGCGGCCCCAACGGCCGCAGCATCCTCCGCCGCCTGCCGCTCGGCGAGCACGGTGCTACCGCCGGAGCCCCTTCCACAGCCCCCCTCCACCGAATGGAAAATAGTTCTCGGGCCCCGGAGCGGAGAGAGCGGGAGCGACACCTCAGTAGCCAATGAGAGCCAGCCTGGTCCCCCGCAGAGCCAATGGCAGCGGCAGGCCGGCCGAGGCGGAGCGTCGCGCAGCCAATGAGGACGCAGCTCTCGGACTGACCCGCTAGGATGGGTTCGACGAGCCTCCATTGACGACCATCTTGGAGTCGGGCGCGGTGCCCAATCTGGGAAGGGGCTCGTCAGCGGCCATTTTGGGTTCGGGCGCGGGGCGCGGGGCGGGGCGGCGTGACGCGGCGGCGCTGCGGGGCGGAAGCGGTGGCTGCGGGCAGCGCCCGTCCGGGTGCGTCTGGCCGGGGCGCTGTCAAAACGCCGGCAAGTGCAGTTGGTGCGGGCCGGTGGAAAGAGCCCTTTCTGCTCCTCGCAGGCTCTGGTGGCCGTACTGGAGCTGGGGTTGAAGCAGACTGAGCCAGAGCTTAGCTGATTCTGTAGCGATATCTCCAGGACACCTGAGAGCTTTTGCTCCAGAAGCATCAAGTCACAATTTGCACTTTCTGCAGTTACGCCCTACCGACGCTACTTGTACAGCACTTGCATAAATCAGTCTAACTTCAACTTTCAGACTCTCGGTTTTAATGACTTCTGTGGCAAACATTCATTTTTAATTTTACTGTGCAGTAAATATTTTCATGCTAGATACTTACTGACTTCTCAGCAGTATAAAGTTTTATTAACTGCAGACCTTAAAACCCCGGATTTGCTGTCTCACTTCTTATTCACAGAGCAAATCCTTCTGATGTTTCTGTTTTTGTCAGGATTAAGGTACAGCTTCTGCTAGAAAAACAGCAGTTATGCTACAGTTTCAGCTAGAAAAATAACAGTTAATCCCACACCCACAAAGATGCTACCTGCCTGTAACCAGAACCTCATCAAAAATATCATGAACACTTCAATATCATTAAATATATTCAATATGTAGTGCATGTGTAAAGTTTTATGTTCTCAGACAGAAGTAATAAAGCTGAGAAAAATCTTGAATCTATTCATAAAGAATAACAACTTCAGAGAGACCATCAGACCTACGCTTTAGAAATCATTGCTGCCATTCTACAGACATTCCATTCAACCTAGAAGGAATCCCATTTAATGTAAACCCCATCCGCACAGACCTCATTAGTTTAACGAGGAAAGTTAAGACCTGCAATCCTTTACTGCTTTTTCTTAAAATCCAACATCTCAGCTCTATGCAAATTGCTTGTCCAAATAACTTCCTTCCTACTTCCTTCCTTCCTTTCATTTCCACAGGCAGATCTTCTGGCTTTTTTTCTTAGTTTCTACCTGAATTAACCCCTTCATGGAAACACTGAAATAAAATAAAGTAAAATAAAATAAAACAAAACAAAATAAAATAAAATAAAATAAAATAAAGTAAAATAAAATAAAATAAAATAATAAAATAAAATAAAATAAAATAAAATAAAATGGCAAACAACATAAATAAGCACAGAGATGAAATACAGAAATCCATGTGACTGCAATGAGCTGATGCAGAGCTAGCAGAATAACAACCTCTTTTCAGCTTTGGTCCATAGATTTGCTTACTATTTGTGAACCTGAGTATGGCATTCTTGGGGGTGTGCTAATTTATTTCATGACATCCTGTTTTATCAAGCAATCACAGTGGTTCATTACTCAAATTTACTTAGGCACTAGTCATTCAGAAAAGTCATGAAGCCAAAGTTTTATGTTAGAAGACAACATCTGGGAATGAGCATCATTACTTCCACAGAAGTTTTTTAAAGTTGTTAGGAGTTTCTTTGACTATGCTTTTAAAATAAACTCTTCTTACAAAGTAAATATATTGGTGTTAGGTTTTTTGTTTGTTTGTTTGTTTCTTTAAATCTGGTTCTGTAAACATATATGTTTTGTCCAGAGGTTACAGAGTTACAGGACAGGGAATTGGGAATCCCTGATTTCCAGCAGAACTGAAGAGAAATCATGTGTGTTGCATTGCCAGTACAGGGGACAAGGGATATACACAATGTGTTTTTGTTCGTGATATCAACATTTGGGTAATTAGTAGAATGCCTTATTAGTTGCACCTAAATCTCCTCAGGGCTCAAGGGAAATATCAGCTCTGGGATACAGTAAAATAATTGTCTGATCCATGGGGATTTTCAGAAATGCTCAGCTGCTTCCACATGCTCACCAAGACAATCTGGATTTTATCACATCAAGTACGGAGCTGAATTGGCAAAGCAAAAGTCCTGCCGAAGGGGAAGGGGAAGGGGAGAGATGGGAAGGGGAAAAAAGGAACGAAGAAAAGATAGAGAAAAATAAAGGAAAAAAGAAAAAGAGAGAGAAAGGGAGAAAGGGGAAAAGGAAAGGGGAAAGGGAAAGGGAAAAAAGAAAGGGGAAGGGAAAGGGACAGGGACAGGGAAAGAAAAAGCCACAGTTTGTCTTTAATAGGTAAGAAAGTGCGAGACTGGCATAATGATTTCAAATTTTTGTTTATTCATCATGGTTAGATGCAGCTGCTCATTAGCAGACAGAAGAGGATAGGTATGCAACTGTTACCATACTGTGTGATTGCTCTAAAGTGCTTGCACCATGCAGTACAGTACAAATAGGATAGTTATAGGTTGCTTAGCATCTCAAATAAATCCACTGTTTAAGGAGGGAGTTGGACCAGATAACCAAGGACTCTTTTAATGTTGATTCACACAAAAATTTAATTACAGCTTTACAAAGACGTCAGTCACAAGTAGAAGAGTAACTGGAATGGTATGAAGTGCACAGAATATAGGCTGGACTTTACTTGCCTTCACTGCCAACCTACAGGCATAAGAAGTCTTTCTCCAGTTTTTGAGCTCTGTGCGTAGATAAGAAGGAAGTTAGCAGGCTATCATACTTCTCTCCCTTCCAAAAGCACAAATCAAAAAATAGTCAATCAGAGGAAATTTGTGCAATGGCCTAGATAGTCTGATTGCAGAGCATCCACATGGGAAAGCGCTCCTCCTGCCTTCCAGGTTTGTTGGCTTTGGTTTTGCTGAAAGCTTGTTGGTTCTTTTTCCCTCAGCTATGTTACTTAGTGTAAGAGAATGTGTTATCTCTCTACCAGCTTTATTCCCTCATCTATACTTTAAAAGCACACTGGAACAGCCTTTGTTCTGCTGTCAAAGGACAATGAACTCCTGCACTGAGAAAATTATTACCCTGAGTGAATTCCAGAGCAGAATGTCGCAGTCTCATTTCCACAGAATTCTGCCTCTCCCATTTTTTTTTTCCCCTGGTCTGCATTACTGCTCCACCTTGGCTTCTGAAAAGTAAGTGCTGTGATTTGGCAGTCTAGGATCAACAAACTTCTTCATTTAATGAAAAAAACCTTTCTGGTTTGCTGCTCAGGCAAAGAACTAGTAAGTAGAGAGTAATAATTCACTGCTTTGTTCTTCTTACCATATGCTTCATTTTGGGAATCTGATGGTGGGATGAGGAAAATGGAAGAAAATTGGGTACTGCTTATTGTAAAATAGAAGAAAATTTTCTAATCACAAGCTTTGGTTATTTATATTAGAACTTCCAAGAGACCTGCACTATCCATAGGAATGCAAATTAATTAAATTCTTCTTTAAAAAAAAATCTTTAACACTAAACACTAACTGATAAAAACTGCAGATATAAGTTAGATTTAGGTGGGCCTACATGTGTTTCAGAATTTAGAAAGAGAATAAAAGATCAGCCCTTAAGAAGATATGTATATATTTGAATGAATTTTTGGTATCTGTGCACAGCCTTGGAAAGTGTTTATCACTGACAGATTTCTGGTTATCTTCACTTCTCTTGTGATTTCTGATTTAACCACACAGACATTTCACAATAAAAATCCATTCTGTTGCTGCACATCCATTACGTGCAGCAGGTCTTTATTCTGTCTGACAGTTTGTCCATCAAATTATGGCACTGTCTCATTCACGGGGTTCAAACACAAAGATTTCCTTGCAATTACTTTCCATTCAGTGATGACCATTTCCATTAGTTCTTAAGTGAGACATCTCATGACAGCAGAAGGGACAGCTGAATATTTTCCAAAATGTAAATTGTCCATATAAAAGTTAACTGAATAGTCTCTCATCTGCTGTGTTACTTTTGAGGAGGAAAAATAATAAAAAATAAATGGCAGCCTCCAGATTCCAAAGATATAATGATTGGATAGGATCAAGGTTTTCAGAAAGCAAAAGCTATTTCATGTAAATTGACAATAAATAAATGTGTTTGAGCCTGAGAGTTTTAGTATGGTGCTTACTGTTGCTTGAAAACACTGTTGCTTAAAGGCATTAGGCATTAGGCAGAGGGCTCCCCTGAGACACAGCGTGCAGAATACATACATTGAGCTTTTCCTTTCTGTAATGTTGTTCATGGTAAGAATTGCTCATGTGATACCTCAGGTTACGTTTAGGGGTGATGGAAACATGTCTCAAGTAGACAACCAACAGAGAAAATTCACCAGCACAGATCTAGGGTGTGATGGCTCGGTGAGTTGAGATCAGTTTGAAGAATACACATAACCAAAGTTTTGTAAGCATTTACCCAGCTTTATACAGCTCATTACTACAGATCAGGGTGATGTGCTTTTATTCTGAGTTCATAGATATGCCAACCACTGACTTTCCCAGAAGGGCTGTAACTGCCCTGCTCCATGTCAGCGCTGCTTGCTGCATGCTCTGCAGGTCTGGCCATGCAGCTGGGGAGCTGTCGGTAGCCAAATTATGTCCGTTTCCTTTCCTGCATGTTTCAGCAAGCGCTGTGGCTGTGAAAAACAGATTCTTTCATCTGATCCACTGGTAATAGATTTGATTTTATGTAAGTGGGTGGAAATCAGTTCCCTCTCTTTCAGAAAAAGGCAGTATGGCCAACTTGGCTAGAAACAGAGAAACATGTTGACATCAGTCACATATCCCTTGTATCCACAGACTGCAAACTGTCACTAAGGCAAAAACACAGGTACATTCTCCTCTTTCCTTTTCTTAAATAAATAAATAAATAAATAAAAATAAAGGATTGAAATGAAAGAAGGGAGCCAACTTGTTCCAAAAAACCCTCTACACTGTGCTTTGAATAGTTAGCAATATATGGCTTTGCAGAGTTTATTTTATTCCTCCTGCTGCCTGACAGTATTGCATGTTTGCACAGTCTACATGGCATATTTTGCATGACTGGTATGTTTTGCTTCATCCTCTGTTTCAATCACTGCATCCAAAGTGAACATGAGTCAATTAATTTTTCAAAAAGGACAGTAAAGAAAAGTCACTGGACTGAAGTAATGACTAAGACACATTAGAAAGGACTACCAGAGTAGCCTTCCAGTAACAGATCGGTACGCATCCTTCAAGACATTGAGAGCTCAAGCTCATCAAAGGAGAAGTCACGAAGTGCCTTGATTGCAGTGTACTGGTAAATATCTAGGAAGCAGACTTTGCTAGAGAAAGCTTTTCAGTATCAATCATACAAAGGTACAACGAGAATGATAATCTGGAAGTTTAACCTCATTGAGTTCAGACCAGAAACAAAGCTCTTCCTTTTTCACAGCTTGAAATAGTTTACCCCACACTGTAGGATGCTTCTTCATCACTAAGGACTGATTTCCAAAATGCTGTGCTGCAGTATAAACAAGAATAAACCGTGGCACTCCTGTGGTTTGTATTACAGACTATTGAGATTGCCCCTTCTGAGCCATGGATCTTTCAAGCTAGGACAGGTTGGCTGGACTTCAGCTAGCTTTTGTTGGCACTCCCAGAAGCTGTAACATTCTCCATCTCTTGCCAAGCAACAACAACTGTAGGAAGAGGAAATTCCTTCTTGACTTTGCAGCTCTTAAAAAAAAATCAAGTACATTACTTCTTTTGTAAGCCTTAGAGCAAAAAGCTTTTTAATCAATAGGAGGGAAAGGTAGTTCTTAGCAGCCATAGCAGAAACAGCACAGAAAGCATGTTTTGACAGCAAGAATGATACTTGCACTGCCCAGCTTTTAGCTATGCTATATACCAAGAGGCAGCTGTGGGCAAGAGCTGGGGACAAAGAATAAGCAGCAGAGAGTCAGAAATCTGAGAGTTGTTGTTGGTAGGGAGGTCAGCAGTAACCACGTAGTGCTGTGCCAAGAAGTGCAGGAAGGAGGCAGGTGGGTTGGTATTCATCTCTTTTTATATTGCTTTACTTTCTTGTCAGGGCAAGTGTCAAGGACAGGCCTGATTTATGCCAAAGAAACTTGATTCTTCTACAATTTCGAGGGCTACTGATATAATTCTCCACCCCTCACCTAATACGAATAAGCAGTATTGCAACACTACTTCTGTTCCACTTATGTCC